GCCCATGATAAAATCGGTATTGATTTGCGCATGGGCTAGCTGGCCTCAGTCAATATGCCAACCTTGATCCGACTCTGTTTGAATTCATTGCCTGTCAGATATACTGCTTCCTCCATTTCCCCTCTGTTACCTCTCGCCCCCTCTCAAGCCCCAGCCCTCTGCCTCTCCAAAACCTGCTGCCGTAAGGCCTCGGTAGCAATTTCGGTCTCTAGTACACGGCCAACGCCTTTCTTCCACGTCTCCTCCAGACTTCTTAGCTCGTCGGCATTCTCACTCTGGACGCGCTGGCGTTGGATATTTACGATGTCGATTTCCTTTTTCGTGGCTGCGAGGTCGCGCTCGAGGGAGGCTAGGAGGGATTCTGTTTGCCAGTTTGAGATGAGCCAGGCGTTTTTGCCGAACTGGTTGAGCAGGTCGAGATGGATTTGGCGGGTGGATAGGTAGGTTTTTGTTGTATAGGCTTGGGAGAGGGGGGCTACGAGGGAGGAGGGGGAGGAACTTGGGGGGAGGGTTTCTTGGGCTTCGTAGCGGGATAGGTCGACTGCTGATAGAGGTTTCTTGGAGGCGATGCGGTCGAGTTCTGAGGTTATTAGGGGGGTGAATTTTGGGCTGTATGAGGGGAGGGTTGGTTGGGGGGGTGGTGTGGATGTGGATGAGGAGAGCTCGGCGGTTATTAGGGATTGGGCGGCGCTGCGCTCGGTTTCTGTTGGTTCTGGGTCGATGTCTGGGGTTGTTAGTTGAGGTTTTGGACGAGGGTTTTGGAAGAGAGGTTTGGGCGCGGAGGAACGTACAGGGGAGAGATTCGTGCACTGTTGTGCGGATTGATGATGCCATGGTGGCTTTTGAGGCTGGTACTCTCGTATACGGGGTTGTGGGGAGCTCGGTTGTAGTTGTTTGTTCCGCCGGTTGTACGGTTGGGGAGTTAGGGGTGGTGGAGAGTGGATGGTGATAGTGAGGCTGATATCGCGAGGTTCTTGGGCGTGGATTCAATCGCGGTTGTAGTCGCGATTCCATTCAAATTGCTTATCGACGATCGTTATCGGCCCCGGAGCTAAGGGTCCCCGACATAGCCATTAACGTACATATACACTGTAACGCACTGTATACAGTAATAAATCAGTTTCAATGTTCGAAGAGAATACTTACTTCAAACTGAATACGATTTCCAGTACTGAAGAACTGAGAAATTTTACATTATTCTTCTGCTGTATCACGTATTGTGAACAGGTGCCAGCCCAGTTACTTGGGTTGCTGGCAGACACCTGCAGCTTTGACATGGGAGCTGTGATGCCGCTCCATGACGTAATCATGAGTTTGTGACGAGCTGTGATGGCTTGTTGCTGTCCGTACCTTATCTTCAGGTGCAGTGTATTCAGAAAGCTACGAGTCTTAAACCACGCTGCCTGGTTACAATACTCCAGAAAGATGATATAGAAGTCTCGGCCACGCGTATATCAACAAGCTTCGGTTCTTTTCTTAACTGCTGCGAGCTGGCTCCATGGATAGATGCCTGCCTGATCGTTGGCATCCGAACATCCGGACACTGGAGGCGTTTGTCTTTGTCGCCTCCGTCAAAATTTCGATTCTGTATTTTGTATAGACTCCTCTTGCAAGATGGACGAGTTCAACAAGAAGCTTCCGTATCTATGGGGCAAAGATGAGGCTGGTTCCTCACTTTTGCCGCCATTGCCCTCGGAGCGAGATGACTCTGAAATCGAAGTCCGTGAATCGAACGCGGCATTCTCTACCCTTTTCAAGTGGTTTATGACTGCCGTGGTTCTCATGGAGCTCATCGTCTTACTCAAGGTGGCTCCCTTTGTCATGGATAATGTTCGATACTGGGTAGGCAATGGATCGACATCGACTTGGGATGTTCCGTCAATTGAGGGTGATGAGTACATAATCGGTGTAGGGAAGGCGGATATTACTGGGTGTGTTCCAAATCACATTACCATGGCATTTGGCCGATCAAAGTGCTGACGACCTTGCTCAAGACCTGTCGTGGAAATTAATCTGATGGGCTATGCCGACCCTAACCAGATCGGCACTGGCCTACGCCAGCGACTGTACTCTCGCGCATTTATTGTAGCTAATCCTTCGCAACCCGAAGATCGGTTCATATATCTTGTCCTTGACACTCAGTCAGGCGATACTGCTGTGCGGTATGGTATTTTGAACGGGCTTCAAGAGCTGGGACCTGAGTATGCCGAGTATGGCCATCATAACCTTGCCGTCACCGGAACTCACTCGCATTCGGGCCCTGGCGCATGGTTGAACTATCTGTTGCCGCAGATCACTAGCAAAGGCTTTAGTCATCAAAGCTACGAAGCGATTGTGAACGGTGCTGTGTCATCGATCAAGCAAGCCCACGAAAGCCTAGGACCGGGTCGTCTTAGCATTGGTATGACCAAGGTCTTCGGCGCGAACATAAATCGAAGTCTTTTTGCATACCTTGCGAACCCCGAAGAGGAACGAGCGAGATATAATGCCACCACCGATGACGATGGGTCTGTGGATAAGGACTTGACTTTGCTCAAATTCCAACGATCGTCTGACGGGAAGAACATTGGCGTTCTTACATGGTTTCCTACTCACGGTACATCCGTCCTCGGCAACAATACTCTGATCTCGGGAGACAATAAAGGCGTCGCAGCTTACCTCTTCGAAAAGAGTGTTGTCGACGATGACAGTGCCGCTGAAGGATTTGTTGCAGGATTCTCGCAAGCCAATGTCGGCGATACCAGTCCAAACGTTCTGGGTGCTTGGTGTGAAGACGGGACGGGGCAAATGTGCAGCTTTGAGAATAGCACGTGTAGTGATGGCAAGTCTCAGATGTGCCATGCTCGGGGACCGTTCTTCAGGGCTGACGATGAAGGGACTTCGTCTTGTTTTGAGATCGGCAAACGCCAATTCGAACCCGCCAAGAAGCTGTACGATGAGATGAAGCATTCTCCGACACTGGTGAAGGGGAAATGGGTGAAATCATTCCACACTTTTCACAATATGTCCAACTACCTATTTGAACTTCCGAATGGGACGCAGGTCACGACTTGCCCTGCGGCATTGGGTTACTCTTTCGCTGCTGGCACATCTGATGGTCCGGGGGCCTTCGATTTCACTCAGCACAACAACGACTCGGCGACAACGTCCCCATTGTGGCGAGTTGTGTCCGGCTTGATCAAGGAGCCAACGCAAGAGCAAATAAGGTGTCATTCTCCGAAACCCATCCTTCTTGACGTGGGTGAGATGTTCACACCTTACCAATGGACGCCCAATGTTGTCGATGTACAGGTCTTCCGTGTTGGGCAGCTTGTCATTATCGTTAGCCCGGGTGAGGCTACGACGATGGCTGGTCGCCGTTGGAAGAATGCTGTGGCTGAAGAGGTCCACGCCCAATTCGAGAGTGAGACCGATGCGGCCCCTATCGTGGTTCTGGGTGGACCGGCGAACAGTTACACGCATTATATCACTACAGAGGAGGAATACGGGTAGGCATCGCCTAATACTCATGAGTCACTACTCTAGAAACTGTACTGATAAATTATCACAGCATTCAGCGATATGAAGGAGCGAGCACGCTGTATGGTCCACATACATTAGCGGCCTACGTCAATGTGACATTATCCTGGATCCCAGCTCTGAGCTCATCAGCTGTCATCCGACCACCACGTGGGCCTGAACCTCCAAACAACAGTAACCGGAGTCTCAGCTTCATACCCTCGGTCATACGAGACGCGCCACCATTCTTCAAGAAGTTCGGCGATGTCGTCAAAGATGTCGAGTCTTCCTACCGCATGGGCGATACGGTCGCAGCTGAGTTTGTCGGCGCAAATCCGCGGAATAACCTCCAACTCGAGAAAACATACGCTGTTGTCGAGCAGTTTGTAGAGAATACGAACTACGATGCTAGTAATGCGACGTCTGAGGCTATGCAGTGGCGGCCTGTAAGGGATGACAGTGATTGGCATCTTGTCTTTCGATGGCGTCGCATCAGTGAGGTGTTGGCGACTAGCCAAGTTGCAGTTTCGTGGGAGACGACGGAACCTTGGGCAGAGCCGGGGTTTTATCGGCTGAGGTATTATGGGCACGCGAAGAGTCTTGGAGGCGATATTACGGAGTTCGAGGGTGTTAGTTCGACTTTTAACTTGCTAGAGTGAGAAGCGATGAGTTTTATTTCATGGTTCACGGCTAGGCGTTTTGGTAGGGCTGGAAGGTTTGGGTTTGACGAGTAGACGGACAGGCTATGAACACGAAGGTGATGCATTTTTGTCTCCTATATGATTTGTGATTATCGGGGACCTGAATGAGTGTTTTACAGTATCTCCAGATAAATACTTGATTACGCGTAGGGGTTACCCGTGAGACCAAGCTTGGAAGAGATCATTGCTATCCCGTTTGCCTTAGCGGAGTTGTTGATATTGATGGGAGTAGTGCCCCTTTAGCACTTAAATAAACCGGCTAGGCGCGGGATGGAAGAATAAGAACAGCAGATATGTTTCCTCGAAGGCTCTTTACTATATATTAAGCTTAGGACAGTCAACGAGATATCAGTGGCTTGAGTACTATCATGACTGTTTTATTATGAAAGGTTGGAGCTTTTCAACCCGCAGTCGTCGCGAAATATTTAAGTTGACGTACAGTGTGTATATGTATTGTCGTAGATAGACTATGTTGGATCCAATGTTTGGATAAAGCATTCGCATGTCAAGTGTTTGCATAAGTGTCCTAATTGTTGAATGGTGCTTGGAGGGCTTGTACTGAGTGTGGGGTGTCACTGTCAAGGTGCAAGCGTCTTTTCACGGGCGATAATGGTTGGGGCACATGCACATGTGCACAGACGGCGAGCAATGGTCAATGGTGGGATGGATCGCGCATGTAGGGGAAGAAAGACATGGATGAAGCTTTGTTAGGCTACATATGGAAATAACAGTGAACAGGGTAAAAAACCAAAAAAAAACCAAAAAAAAAAAGAGAGAGAGACATTGTGAAAAAAAGTACAACGCCTCGACCGGGACTCGAACCCGGGCCCTGTGTGGTGGCGTTTCCTGCAGCCATTTTAGTAAGGTGCAGTCAACGACCGCCATACTGTCCTCCCCCTGGACCACCGAGGCTGATTAATTATCGGCGAACCTGATGTCTGGAATTATATAGGTCGGTCGGGACGCCTGTTCTAACTTCTCTGTGTGCTTGCTCTGGGGTGCACGTGACTGTGAAATGTTGAATGCCCGGTAGGTCTGTAAATGAGCAAGATGACAAGGTAGGAACGTGCTTACTGAGTCGTGGTGTGGAAGGAACGTCACTAACGAAGAACGAGAAATACCTTGGCTGGACTCGGACCTGTGTCTGTTGCCCGTACCGCAGACCAGACGAAAGGTGCTGAGGAGCCGTTTTATCTATCCCTGGACCATCAAGGCTGTTTGGTTATGATGTATATTGCAGCAGGGGCGGCCGCTTAGTCAGCATTTTAGACCTTACAGGGTTTATTATAGAGGGCTTGGCGCAGCTGGAGCAATCGACTTGTCCCCTATCGATCTCTGTACCTACCGTACCTACCTTCTAATTCTACCTCTGGCCTGCGTCACTTGTCAGCTTGAATAAAAGGGGAAAGGACTTTACCGCGTCTCGCCTGTTCCAGAAACCAAAACCAGGACTATGCAACGTGGCACTCAGCAGCATACCAGATTGGGAGTCTTCGTTCGGTCTGAAAACCCATCCCCTCGACTCCGGCCCCTAACGATCTCGCGTAAGGAGACCGCCGCACCGGAATAAGGCAATCAATCTAAGCGGAGTCCGGCCTATATATAGAACATGCCCAGCGTTTGCTCTATCCTTCAATTCCGCCGCTTCTGCCAATTACACATTAAGCAGATAGCGCAGAACCTCACGATATATCGACTCTTCATTGCCATTGATTACCGTTGGCGGTTATACGTCCAACCATTCAGTAACAAAGATAGATCTGGGAAAACATCAGGTAAAGCTCAACGACAATCGCCGGCTTGCACTGGACTCCATTGCCTCCGCTAATAATGAAGTGATCATTAGCATAAGATACGTGTTGAGTTTCGAGCGTAATATTAGATTTCTAACCAGTTTCGCAATGGAATTTCCCAGCTAATCCCTATGATCTGTTATACGATGCGACCTTGTGACTCAACTTCCGGTCCAACTCCCCATTCCACTCCGCCTGTCCGACTCCAGCTCCAGACAACAAACACCCGGCCACGATAAGACTGTAATGCTGTTATCCGTATAACTTGGAACTCCACTGCCAAGGATGCCAACTACTTATGGCCTCAACCTCCGTACTCCTAAGCCCTTTACGAGACAATAAAGCGACCCTTAGGCTTGGTACTGGTCTGTGATCTCTCACCGTCCGTTCTAGACCCTCTCTGCCTTGACCATCGTTAAAGTCTGATCCACCCATACCATATATACGATCACCGTCTAAGTAGAAGCCGCTGTCTTGACTCTACATTAGCTAACTGTCGTTAGAGTCGGACGTTGTCACAGTCGCGATAACCGAGGTGTCTTCTCCGCCAACATCGATCGTTGCGGATTGCACGAGATGGCGCTTCCCTTCCTTGCCGGTTTGCAACGGGTGACATGGAATGCCATCCTATCTGAATGTCGAGAACCCTTGAGGTTCGTGGGAGGCATACTGGTCACCACCCCGTGTATAAGAAGCCCGTCACTGCCCACAGAACTGAATATGCCTCGCACTATCAGCTACCACCAAGGCCAGCGTTACCCCCCGAGAGTCAGCTCTGCTCGATTCTCGCCATGCGGAGCCTCCATCTTGCCTATTTGGCAGCGAGTGTTCTCCCTTTCGGCATTCAGTTGGCTGGTGCTATAGAATGGGACCGACCTAAAGACGACCCCTTCGCACATACGGCTGACGTTGTATACACTGACAATTCATTCAATGACACTTTCCCACCTGTTGAAGGAGCTCCTGCCTCTGACGATGACGCTCCTGTTGGGCCTGACGCTTTCCTCGATAGTGTTGTGACTGCGGCGTCGGCCAAGGACTTTTATCTACGTGTTATGCCCTTGGGTGCGTCCATCACGCGGGGACAGGCATCGACAGATAACACTGGATACCGGAAGTCTCTTCGCCAGAAACTGCGCTATCAAGGATGGCAGGTTAACATGGTAGGGTCTAGGCAGGATGGCGACATGAATGATAATGTAAGACCACTTCCTCTTGCCTCCTCTTTGAGCCGCTACAAAATGTATGCAACGCTGATGAATATGGCAGGACAACGAGGGATGGTCTGGTTATGTCATCAATTCGATATACGCCGAGTTCATGAAGTCTGCTCACCTGAAGCCCAACCTTGTTCTCGTAAACGCTGGAACGAATGACTGCGGCGACAATGGAGACGGCGCCAATGCGGCGAGGGACATGAAATCGATGCTGGATGGGATCTATGCCAGCATTGACGGAGTGACCGTTATCCTCTCCTCTCTGATGCCGAGTACGAAGAACCCTACTTGCGCTACCTTCGTCAGTGAACAGTACCGGCAACTCGCTACTCAGTACAGTGACCACAGGTTTGGGTTTGCCGACATTCATGCCGTATTCCCCATCAACCTGTTGCACGACGACACGCACCCCAACGACGAGGGCTACAGGCTATTCGCAGCGGTCTGGTGGGAAGCCATCCGCAAGCTTGAAGACGTCATCCAACCGCCACAAAGCAACGGACAAAGCGATGATGCCATCAGCGGAAACACGTGCAGAAAGGTCGCTGGCAATTCCAAAGGTTCTATCAAGACGCAAGTGGGAAGTGGTCACAACGACGGGAATTACGTACACGCCTCGGAAGCCCAGGGCGTTTTATCCACCGCTCGGATTGAGTATAAGAACGACAATTACATTCTTAACAGCTTTATCCCATCTCGCATATTTTTTGCCAATCTGATCAAGACCGATCCTAACGCCGACCGATCTCAGGCGTTGGACGACTGGATTCGTGTTTGGAACGGCGGAACAGACAGCAAAAGTTGGGTCTGGAACGTCCGCCAAAACATGGGCAATGGCGTATTTGGTGACTCTCAGGTGTTCCATGTCGACCAGGAATGTGAGCAGGAGACTGATGCTCGCTGTGAGTACTTGCCAACATCCATCTTCGAGCTCTCTCATATCAAATACCCACTGACAGCCTAGCTACTCTGGGCAGATGGTTGGGACTTTGCGGATTTTGTAGGTCCATCCATGACTTAGTCTGTATAATGGTTTGATGTCAAGCTAAGCAGGCAGGACTAATTCATCATCTAGAACGGTGACGAATTAGGTATGTTTTCTTCCACACTACCCCTTACATTCCAGCCATCCGCCAAATCAGTCAGTACTAACCCGTTCCAGCCGACCTCTTCTGTTTCCGCAAAGACGGTTCCGTCGGGCTCTCCCTGAACCAAGGCGGGAACCCACCCACGTTCAAATTTTACGGGCAGGTGAGTTCGCCATCCTCCCGTAGGTGGCTATCGAGCCTACTACTGTGACCTGTCTCAGCTACCTAACATGTCATGTGCATCAAAGATCATTGGCGGCATAGCCCCGGATGACTGGGACTATCAGTACCAAAGGTACCAATTCGCAGGTAAGGCAGCCGGAATCCCGCATAGTCCAGTATCAGTGTGTGTGGCCTTGTGTGCTAATCGAACGGATCGAATATAATAGATATCGACGGGGACGGGAGAGCAGATTTCTGCATTTTCTCTCCCAACACCGTGAAGTAAGCGCCGCCACCGGCCAAGAAAAGCCATTGCTGGGTTCTGATGTGCTGACTGCTTGACCTCCTCCCAGGTGTTCGAGGAACGGAGGCCAGGGAAATGAGCACTTCTGGCAAGGCTTCAAAGACCCGGGCACCATCAGGGACCTCGTGTTCTCTCACGACGAGCCAGGGATACCGACGATAAACATGCGTCTGCGTGAGTGACAGTCATCCCATGTGGTTTGGTAAATGCTAATCGAGCCGGGAACCCTGGTACAGAGGATATCAATGGAGAGTAAGATTTTGTGCATGACCTCGGTTGCAGCACTCACATACTGACGGATTGATTAGTGGTCGAGCTGATTTTATGTACATCACCGACAATGGCGCCATAAAGACGTGGGTCAACAATAGAAGCACGGGGAAAAGTATTGTAAGACTTGATCCCCTTCCCCCTCTCCCCGACGCCGCGTACATACCGGCTCACTGTCGGCACTGGACTTGCTAATCATGTGCGTCTTCTTCTTAAGGTTCCCACCTTCCGGTCTGCCGGTCAGACACATGCAGGCCAGGCAGAAAACAATGTCGCCTATAACGTCAAGCTTGGCAGGATCTATGGCTCCGGACGCCTCGACTACCTTTTCCTCGTCATCGACTTTGACAAGGACTACATCGACATCAAAGCGTGGAAGAACACGGGGGGTGGCGGTACCAAACTGAATGGAGACGGCAGCTTCTTCTGTGATATGCGCGGAACCGGCTCGGACGACCTGGTCTGGATCTACGATAGCGGTATGGTGGACGAAGTCAATACGAACATCCACAGCCCCCCGCAATGGGGCCACGATACCAAGATCTCCTTTTCCGTCCCCGGCCCCCGGACCGGCATTCACCTGGCCGACGTGAGTAACTTCTGATGTTATTTTCTACCTATTCTGGAAGTTTTCGAGAGTCATTTCTTTTATCTCGGGGGAAAGCGCTCCAGAAACATATATCGAAACTCGCGAGACATGAGCAAACACGCTATAAAGAGTAATTACTGACTCGAAGTGTTGCAGTGGGACGGCGACGGCAGATGCGATGTTTTGGTACAAGACAGACTGTCCGGCGCGCTTACGCTATGGCATAATAACTATGACAAGACGGCCAACTCTATAACTTTTACCAGCCAGGGGGTCGTTGCCAGACCTGGTTGTGCCGAGGGATGGGGTCCATCGATATTCAACCGTGGCATGCGCCTAGCGGATCTCGAGTAAGTTGATTCCAGACCCATCCCGTCTGTCTTAATTCCCCAGCAAGCGGGATACTAATGGACTTGACGTAGTGGTGATGGACGTGCCGATATCACTTGTCTCGAGAACTCGGGCCGTATCACCGGTTGGCTCAATCGT